TTTAAGCGCCCAAAACAGCAACAACAACAATAAATAAAATATAATCTGATTATATTTTTGTTGAATGAGAATTTCGATAATATTGATGATGAGGATGGTAATAATCAGATTTGTTTTGTTTTGTTTGTTTTTGGGTGAAAATTTGTTTTTTAAAATGTCAAGAGAGCAATTGGTTTATGGGTAGTGAATGTTTTCATGCAGATTTTTCTCCTCTGTGTTTTTCCCAAAATTCCCATCTCTAAATACACAAAATGTTTGCTCATTTTTTGTGTTTTTTCCATATAAGTAGATTATTGGCTTGAAGTTTTTTTTGAAAATTATAAATGAGTGATACCTACGGTAATATACACAACTTTTGTTTTGTTTTGTTTTCACTGGAAATAAAACAAAACAAACTTTTTTGCTTGTTTTGTTTTTTTGAATGACAATGATGTTGATGGCCAGCAGTAGTTTTTCCTGTCCAGGATCATCATTATCATGTTTTCTGTTCTGTTTTGTAAAAAACTTTTTTTTTATAAAACAAAAATTAGCAGCTAATTAAACATTTAGATGGAAATAGAATGTGGGAACCGAAAAAAAAAGTTTTTCCCATTTTCAACATTGTCCAGGTGTGTGCAATTTAAGCATCCATTGTTGACAGATTCTTTTCTCTCTTCTCTTTTTTTCCTCTCTGATTATAAAAAATGATGGATACTCGAGTGATACGTTTATAGAATATAGAATTTCTGTTTCTGGATTTTGAAAAAAAACAAGAAAAGTTTTTGATGTGGACAGCGAATGAGATTCTTGGTTTGATTCAATAATAATTTTATTCTGGACAGGGAAAACAAAATTTTTTCATTTTTTCGGACCAACCAACCATACATGTCATGTCAAACAATGATGATGATGATGATGATGATGAAAGGTGTCTTTTTTTTTGCCACCGTAAGTGTGAAAATAGCCGCAATAAAAACAGAATCCAGAATCGAGAATCGGACAAAAAAAACGTGAACAGAGTTGTTGACAAGCAATTCTTGTGTGTGTGTGTGTGTGTGTGTGTGGGTGGAGATACCGATAACAACAACAGCAACAATTCTGGTTAGAATCAAAAACGAATCAAAAATTCTGTGATTGCTTTCAAAGAAGAAGAATCAAATGTTATGATTTTTTGTTGTTGTTGTTGTTGTTTCTCATATCGAAAACAACAACAACAACAAACAAAAAAAATCGACATTTTTTGATGATTTTTTTTAACACATCCGAACACACACACATTATTATTATTATTTATCATATCGCCCCGGATGAATAAAAATAAAAGTGTTTCTCCCCCCTTCCTACTCTGTTCATTCCCCTTCTTTTTCCCCAACTCCCCCCTTGAATGAAAGAAACATTATATGTGTTTACATTATTAGTCAACCTTTTTGGATGATTGTTGTTGTTGTTGTTGTTTGACAACAACAACAACAAAAAGTAAAGAAAAACATTTAGAGAGAGAAAGAGAGAGAGAAAAGACAGTGTAACATCATCGTTGAACATCCACAAATAAAAAAACATTATGTGTTTTTTTTTTTGTTCCTGAAGGAAGCTATTAAAAACTCGTTCAATACTGTGTAACTGACTAAAGAAAAATATTGACTTTTTCCACACACATACCGAATCAATTTCAAATTTTCTTTTTGGGTGTTATTTTGTTTTCCCTTGCATTTGGATTCAACTATTAATCAACTATTCAGCAATTCAACAGTAGCAGCGATAACAAACAAACCAGAATCGGATATTATTATCATTATTATTACTACCAGAATTGGACATGTAAATGAATGAATCGAATGAGAATCTCGTCTGATTTCAAAAAAAAAAAAAAAAAAATTATCAATATTGACTTGAAAATGATTTTTTTTTTTTTTTTTTTTTTTTTTTAATTTTGGAGGGTTGTTGTATTGAAAATTTNTTCATTTTTGATTCAAATTAATCAACTATTCAGTAGCAACGATAACAAACAAACCAGAACCAGGATATTATTATTATTATTACTACCAGAATTGGACATGTAAATGAATGAATCGAATGAGAATCTCGTCTGATTTCCAAAAAAAAAAAAATTATCAATATTGACTTGAAAATGATTTTTTTTTTGTTGTTGTTGTTATTGATGTTCGAAGGTTGTTGATATGCAAATTTTCTTATTCTATGCTATCACTGCTTCTGCACATCATCATCATCATCATCATCATTGGTCGTCAAATTCTTCGAGTTTGTTTGTTTGTTTGTTTGTTTACAATGTTATGTTATGTTTTTTCTTCTTCTCCAGTTGTTGTCGATGTAGTTTGTTAGTTTTTCTTCTGGATAAATATTTGCATTTGAGATTTGAAAAAGCTTCTGCTTGAATTTTGCAAAGAATGATAGAGAGAAAGAAAGAAAATGCAATCTAAAAAATGTGTGTGTTTAGATAAGATCAAGGATCAAATTTTGATTGCTGTTATGATTATCATCCTGATCATCATCAAATATCGATCAAATGTTAATCATGTCTTTTTTCTTCTGATGATATTGATAGAAAATTCTAAAGAATCAAAATCAAAAAAATAGATTAGATTTACGTAGAAAAAAAGTAAAGAAAAAGAATCTGTCAAGCAAAATGTTGCCAATCAAGCAAATCAATGAATGCTATCTTTCTCTATTTCATTTCTTGTTTCCATCAAAATATTTTCAACTTTACTTCTTCAGGTGAAAAAAAAATTTACATAAAAACAAAGGAAAACAACGGAAAAATCTAAATCAATAGTCTATAGATATAGCCAACTGCCAACAAGAATCCGAAATTTTTTTTGCTTTTTTGAAAAATTGAATTTTCAATGTTTTTCTCTTCTTGTTGCCAAGAAAATAAATAAATAAAATTCGAAGGCCAAAATCAAATTTCGTAGCCAAACGAATTCTGAAATAAATCTGAGTGAAAAAAAA